TATATATATATATATATAATACATTAATCAATGAAAACCCCCAAAGTAAGTAAGTAAGTAATCTTTATTTATGTAGCACCTTTCACAGACAGTAACATTACAAAGTGCTTCACAAGCAAAACAAAAAAGAAAAAAGTAAACAAAATTTAACTAAAAGCCAATTTGATTCAATCAGTCTTAAGATCTTTTTTTTAAAGAGTCAATGGAATCTGAACAGCGCAGTGACAGAGGGAGAGCGTTCCAAAGCCTCGGGGCCACCACTTGGAACGCTCTGTCTCCACGTGTTTTAAAGTAAGTTCTTGGTACCATCAGCAACATTTGATTTGAAGATCTCAAAGTCCTGATGGGACAAAGAGGCTTTAAAAGGGCCAATAATTATTTGGAAGCCTGACCATGAAGTGCCCTGAAAGTTAGGACCAAAATTTTAAAATGACTCCTGAAATGCACGGGGAGATAATGCAGAGATGCCAGAACAGGCGTTATGTGGGCTCTTCTGTGGGTTCTAGTTAGCAGCCTTGCTGCAGCGACTGAAGGCAAGCTAGGGAAGATTTATTCAGACCCATTAAAACGCTGTTACAGTAATCTAAACGAGAAGAAATAAAAGCATGAACAATCATCTCTAGTTCCTTTCTTTGATACAACACATCGTAGTTTTGAAATGTTTCTTAAATGATAAAAACTATTTCAAACTAACAATTCACAATGAATGTCCAAAGATAACAAACTATCAAAGATGATGCCTAAATTTCTGAGATTATTATTTACCGAAGGATTTAAAAAACGTAAGATACTGCCTGATAACTGGAATTTTGTCATCAGGGGCACTAATAAGAGTCTCAATTTTGTTTGCATTTAACTGCAGGTAGTTGTCATTCAGCCATGTTTTGATCTCTAACAGACAGTTTCTGAGTTCAATCAATTTATGGAACTTGAAGGCTCGAAAAGAACAGTATAGCTGAATGTCATCAGCATACAAATCGTAAGACACATTTCTGTCATGTTTCAAAGTCTACAAGGACTCAATGTTTCTTACTAGATTGTGCCAAAAGTAGACTAATTTGTAATGGTTCAACTTGCTAATTTAGGCTGCAATTTACATGGACATTGCAAAAAAACTAAAAGACTCCATCCATCCATTTTCTTTACCCGCTTCTTCCTTTTTGGGTCATGGGGGTCACCGGTGCCCATATCCAGCTATCACTGTGCAAGAGGCAGGGGACACCCTGGATAGATCCCCAGTCCATCACAGGGACACAAAGAGACAAACGAGACAAACAACCATTCACTCTCTCACTCACATCTAGGGACAATTTAGAGTTACCAAACTCCACTCAGAAAGGCCCCCGGACCAGGATTTGAACTGGTGCCACCTGCTGGCTGAGAGGCAGCAGCTCTACCAAAAGCACCACCATGCTACCACATACAAGACATTTACTTAAATGGTAGATGAAGGAATTTCCAAAACAAAAACTGTAAAATTGATTATTAAATTTTATAAGAAAGCAGTAAACTTTATATGAACCAAGAAACAGGTCTACATTGTTACAAACTGGGTTTAAGGTAATAAAACACAAATGCTAAATATGTTAAATATTGTTTACTTTGTATTTTCTGCTCAAGATATTTTGTAGCCTTTCTAAGTGGCAAAAACTACTCTAAAACTTGCAAATTAACTTATTGACAACAGGTTCAATCAGCGTATTAAAATAATAATTAAACATAATCAGAAATAACAGTCTCAGATTCCTTTGAACTCAAATGATGAGTCACACTTGACTAACTACACTTGAACTTCCTGTCTACTGTTGTTAACAAGCTGAAAAAAAAAACAGTTATAATAAATGTCAAGTCAAATCAAATGTATTTAGAAAGCACATTTAAACCAGCAGCTGTTACCAAAGTGCTTAACAATAAAATCAAGGCAGTAAATTAAAGAAAGAGAATAATAACAAGATGCAATTCAAAGCATCAAAATAAAAACATACTAACACAAAAAACAAAGAGAATCAATTGAAATACTAAATCAATATGTGTGATAGTGTAAGTCTGAGAAAAGAGGTCTGTTTAGGAGAGATTTAAAAGCAGGGAGTGAAGTGGCCTGTCTAATGTTGATGGGCAGATTGTTCCAAAGTTTAGGGCCAATAACTGAAAAAGCTCAATCTCCTCTGAGCTTAAGCCATGTTTTTGGGACAACCAAAGCAATTGATCAGATGATCTCAGTACCCTAGAAGGAACATATGGTTGAAGTAGGCCAGAGAGGTATGAGGGTGCAAGGCCATTAATGCAGTTAAATGTCAACAGGAGAATTTTAAAATCAATTCTGGCATGCATAGGGAGCCAGTGAAGGCAGGATAAAACTGGTGAAATATGCTCAAACCGAGCTGAGCATTTTGGACAAGCTGGAGATGCGAAAGGAGACCTGACTGACCCCAACATAAAGCATGTTACAGTAGTCCAGCCGGGTTGTAACAAATGCATGAACAATTTTTTTCAAGATCGAATCTGGTCAACACGGACTTAAGCTTAGCCATATGCGTTAACTGGAAGAAGCTTTTTTTGTAAAAAAAAAAAAAAGAGTTAATCTGTTTTTTAAACTTCAAATCAAAGTCTAAAACCATTCAGAGATTTGGAAAAGTTTACTTAAGACATGGCTCAAGGGAGTCAAAATTAACAGGAACAGAGACAGCAGTAGAGCTAGGGCTAAACACAATGACTTCAGTTTTAATGATTGTTGAAACAAAACGTTTGAAGCCATCCATGCCTTAATGTCATCAAGACATTTTAACAGAGGGTGGATTGTGCTTGAACTATTTGGTTTTAAAGGCAGATAAATCTGACAATCATCAGCATAGCAATGAAACGACAGACCGTGTTTTCTCAGGATAGACCCCAAGAGGAGCAGATACAATGAAAACAGAAGGGGTCCGAGAATAGAGCTTTGTAGGACCCTGCAGGAAAGAGGCACTGAAGCAGATAAACTATTACCAACATCAACACAAAAACTCCTGTTGCTCAGATAAGAACAGAACCATTCTAATGCTGCACCAGTAATCCCAACCCAGTGTTATAACCATAATAAAAGGATACTGTTAAAAGTGATAATACTGACTCTAAAAATATAGTTAAAAAAAAAAGCTATAGCACCTAGCAGAGATGTTTAATGCTACAAGATTCACCCTGAAATATCTCAAGCTTTCTCAAGCCTTAAGTACTTCCATTTAACCAGAGGTATTTTTTGGTGAACATTTTTCTTTTGGACTTAATTTAGTCCCCAGTTCCTATGATACAATGCAGGACTTCAAGCCCCAGCTGTCAACACCAAATAGTTCAGCATGTAACCGATGATTTGCTGTGACTGCAGCCAAATCAGTTGGCCCCCAATATATACTGTGTCCTCACCCTCAGGGCTTCTGAAAAAATGAGAGCTGCAAATATATTTTTAATCTACACACAGTTTTGGTGAATATCCTATATAACCTATATATAATAATATAATATTAACCTAATATAACCTATCCAGTGATTTAGAACATAGAAAACATTTAGTGTGACACTAATGTTGACTTGATAAATGTTCGGTCTTCATTATCAGGCTTCAGCTACTAGAGTTTAGTGCAAAAAGACAATACCTAAACTGTCAAGTGGAAAAACAAGGCAGAAAAGCTTATCTCTTCTACTTCTCTTCATAGAAAGGCCACTCATTACTGACAAGCTATACAAGTTCATTATCCCAAACTCTGTACACAATTACATGCAAAACATGTTTAAAGCTCCAAACCTTGAAGTTTCTCAAACAAACTTTTTCAACCCATACAATGAGTCTAAAAATAAATTTGAACCAGTTTGACAGTAAACAACAGAAGGGGCCTTGTCAATGTCTCTGTTTCTCTGTCTCTGTCCCTTCTGCCTTGTTTTGATTAAGACTAACTGGGTCGTAAACTTGGTCTGTTCCCAAAAAACGCTCATATCAAAGAGGAAGCGGGAGAAAGATCGAGTGCACGGGGTGGAAGACAGTTTTTAAAGGGGGAGAAAACAGAGGGAAATAGTGAATCACTGGGCCCATGTGGATGAGGGCCATCAAGCTAACATGGTGCCAGGGCTGTTGATGATTCTTGCAGGCAGACCGGTCAGTCATGGATGCAAGAGAAAGAAGTCGAACCAAATGTACACGTTTTCCCTCCCTGTTTAATTAATTGATTTATTTTGAGAAGTGCAGTGGCTGTATCTTTAACTTGTTACAGCTTTAAGATCAACTACAAAAAGAGTCCTTTCTGGTTTTATAGCAAGTGCAAATACAAACAAAACTCACCATGACATAAGCTCTAAGACGTCAATCACACTACTTAAACTAAGTGTAGGAATGACATGAAAGTGATCTGCTTGTATGTGTGTGCATGTGTGTGAAACCCTGGAGTTGTGTGTGCTTGAGTTACAAAAGGTTAATTTGGAGCAGTAACTGAGCTTTTTGCAGCTTTCAAAGCAACCTGGCAAAGGATAAACAACAGAGCAGTGGTGCAAGGAAAAATAATAGACATTCTGGCCTTTAGAGAGGACATGATAGAGACACTAACTTCACAAGGAGAACGCTACATGTATGTGCATGTGTTCGCTATAACATTCGCCGTGAGAAGAAAAAGAAAATGTATGGTACAGGAACCAACAAAGTCCATGCTCAGTAATCCAGATACAATCCAACAATTTTCAGTCAGGTCATCTGGGGGGGGTTTGTTCCACTTTGGAGTAAGTTGTTGGGGGAAGAATCAGCTTTGTGTTGTGTGTTTCCTTGACTGATGAAGCCTTCTGGATGAAAGGTGAAACGTTTCAGCACAAAAAAAAAAAAAAAAAGAAACTGTCCAGAAGACCTGACTGAAAATTGTTGTATGGTACAGGAAGTCAAAAAGTCTGAGTAAGTCTGTCAGATATGACTAAGGGAACCAATTCTGCACTGAGTGCTATCATGTGTTTTTTGTCAAACATAAAATTTCAATTGGCACACATAAACGTTGTTAATGCAGCCACACATAAACAAACATACATTCATGCTTACCACAGGCTTTGATGCTGCAGTACTCCCATGGTGTGTTTGGATCAGTGGTAAAACACCAGGGTCTGTGACGTCCATCCGGGTTCCTACAGTAGTTGTCATCTAAGCCCTTGTCAGGGTACCTAATACAAAACATGCAGGACAAGTACTTTACTATCTAAAGATGCTAATGGGTTGAATGTTAAGGTTTTTTTTGTTGTTGCTAAAAACAGCAGCAGACTGAGTCAAAAGATAATTTATTATTGCATGTGGCTGACAAGCTAATGACTGAGGATAGACTGCATATGCTAATCTATTTAGATAAGTTGCACCACTGCAGGTGTCTAACAGTAATTATCCCCAAAGCCCAACGTCCATTTAGGCCTGTAGCCTCCAGACATGCCGATTCAGGCTGTGGGCCCTCTTATTACATTAGCAGTGAGCAATCTAGAACCTGGTTTACATAAACGACGGGATGATTAAGAACGTGTTAACGAGCCCCCACTAATCTAGACCACCTGCCACCCAGCTAGATGGAACAGTCTTGACACAGACACATAAGCTTGACATGCACATGCATAGACACAGACTAGGGATGTGTAAGGAACACTTTTACAGATTAAAATAAATGACCTCCCTAATTCAGAAATGAGGGGGTTCCCAGCATACCACTGTTAAAAACACACACTTGCATAATGAACCGTCAAGGCGTTCCTTGGGTGGAAAAGTTTTACTGGCTGACTCAAAATCGCATCATCTCCTGAGTACGCCACAGCCACGGGAAACATTACCAAGAACTTATTCTCAAGTCTTTTGCTTTTATTTGTATCTATGTTTGCACATTTATGTGATCAGAAGAATGTACAGAGGATTGGTGTGAGTGTGGGGGAAACAATAGGCTCACCTCTTGGGGTGGTACTGGTGTTTGTGTGGTTCGTCCAGGTCCCACCGCTGGCATTCTTTTCCATTTTCCGTATAGTCCATGGGTCCTCTATAATCTTCCCCATTGCAGTTTATACATTCAACTGTGTAATTACACAGAAAAAAAAAAACACTTAAAAATCTAAACTAATAACCTAGCATTTACATGCTATGCCAGAACTCCAGAAATGGCTCATTAATACAATGCTACAAGACGGTTATCGAGCATATGAGAAGCCTGGAGGAAACCAAAGAACAAACAAACTCCTCATAAAATGGCTGCATCAAACCAACACTTTTGAGAATTCTTCTTGCAAGGTGCTAACCACTGCCACCTGCATGCAAACTCTTGATAATAAAGCGCCTCACAAAGCTCCAATATTGTCAGTATGCTAACATAGTTTTAATGTATGTGAGTACAAACTGTATTAAATTAATGAGAGCCGGAGTGTTTGATGAAGCAGGCCACCTTTTGCTTCATGGCAAGTATAATGTGCTGTCTTGTGTAAACAACCAAAGGGATGCTTATTAGAAACAGATGTGTGTGAGTCTACTCCTGTGATGACACAACACATTTATTGCCACTTACTGATGGTGTTTTTGTGCTTGTACACGCCATGTTTGTGTCTTTTTCCTATTAATAGCGGTGGGTTTTGTTTTAGAGAAACACCCCCAGTCTCTTTTCTCAGAGCACATGCTCTCTATTAAAATGAAATGTCATTATCTCTGGTGTACAAGTTGTGATAACCAATTGAGACGCCATGTGAAGAACAAGAATCATTTTATCTGATCAAACCACAATTTAGTTCTTCATTAAAGTGATCCGGTGTCATGAAAGGGGAAATGGCCCCTCTGATAGCTTGAATCTCTGAAGATTAGATAACTGAGGTCATTATTATCCCCTCGTTTACAGTGTCTGACAGCAACATATAGGTTTATAATGCAAAAGTTGAGACAACACGAGACCTTTTCTCTTCATCTCAACCACGTTAGCCACAGCGACAAACATAATGGCTGGAAATATGTAAATGAGACAATACATCAGTATCATCTAACATTTCTAAACTTGCTCCTTTATGTTTAAAGTTTAGAGCATTCCCAAAACTCGACCCTACTGAAAGGAGAAACATCAAAAACTGAATGATTACACCTGGAAACAGCTGCAGCTTGCGTCAGCACATAAATAACACTTGTATAGGCACACACACACTAGCAGGAATAGAAAGGGAATTACAAAGATGCCTAATCTGAATATGTGATTGTTAGATTTGCTGCAGCTCATTTCAGATGGTCAAGCCTAAATTGATGTAGCAATCTGCAATGTGGAATGAGATTACTTCAAGATGAATGTCCCTACACAGATGTGTTTGTGCGTATGTGGGTAGGGGTGGTGGGGTCTCAGTGCATGTGGTCTACCTTGTGAGCACTGTGGTATGCCACACTCCTGGTGTCTGAGGTGTGGGCTGGGGTCAGTGGTAAAGCACCATGGACCAGCGGTGGAGTTGTCAGGGTTACGGCAGTAGTTTTCCCTGAGGTCCTTCTTCCTGTACCTTTTAGACATGAATCTGTAGGAAGCAGAGCAGCGGCTAAACAACATGTAGCAAGACCAACAGAGAAAATACAACAGCTCAAAAATAAATAAATAAATCTTGAAAATTGTAATAGTCAGTAGTTGATTTTATTTTTATTTTTTTGTCGGTCTCAATCATAATCCCATTTCTCATTTAACGAAAAGTTTGGGCCTCTCTACAACTACAGAGATCAGAAAAATAACGAGCCTAAAAGGTAACTAATGACAGAGCTGAAATACTGAGTCATCAGTGACATGATATTGTTAGCTAGTGAAAACTTGTAATGTGTAACAGCAATTACTACTCTTTTTTTTTTTTTGGACAAGCCCCAGACATAAGGTTGTATAAATACGCTGACAAATGACTCATATCTTTAACATCAGGCGAGCACATGGCTGTGGTCACCAGTTACGATGATGGACACAGTGAGTGTAGTTTTTGAGCAAAGCGGTATTTTTTTCCATGAAGATGAAATGATAAAGTAAGGAAAAGTTCATTTTGGGGTACAGCGTACTGACAGGTACAGAGATGAGGAGGCCTGTATGGGGAAGTCATACAAGAGAGAAAAATCTTTGACTGATAAAATGGTGTTTGTTCTTGAGCGTGTGTGTCCATGTCAGAGTATCTCGTGCCTAAACGCTGACTGATAAAAACATACAAAGTGCCTGGGTTTAATTACCTAATTTGTTGAGGTATTATTAGGAGTCTGCAAAAGCAGGTTCACTGGAAGTACAAACGCTGGCTGCCAGTTTTGATTCATGTGAAACTGCGGCAGCGCACTACAAAGTTTTTCAAAGTCGGTTCAAACCTCAGAGGAGTTGAGAGAAATTTACTTTTTTGATCATTTCTTCTTTCCTAGGGAATATGGCCTTATATATTAGGACAATATTGTATGGGCTTTTTGAAATGTGTTACCTTAACGTATAAAAAAATTACAAACAAATCACAAACCAGGCTTAAAAAAATGGAGAAAGCCAAAACTTAACAGGAGTAAAGGTATAAAATGGGATGATGATTTATTGTTATTTTACTAATTTCTTGGCGGCACAGTGGTTCAGTTGGTAGAGCTGCCACCTCTCTCGATACAGGATCAAATCCTGGCAGAAACCTTTCTAGGTGGAGTTTACATGTTTTCTCCGGGTGCTCCGGTTTCCTCCCACAGACCAAAAACATGCATGTTAGGCTGATTGGTAACTCTAAATTGTCCCTAGGTGTGAGTGAGAGAGTGAATGGTTGTTTGTCTTGTTTGTCTCTATGTAGTCCTGTGATGGACTGGAGACCTGTCCAGGGTGTCCCCTCACCTCTCACACAGTGACTGCTGGATATGGACACCAGTGATCCCCACGACCCAGAAAGGAAGAAGCGGGTAAAGATAATGGATGGATGAATGAATGGATGAATGGATGGATGGATGGATGGATGGATGGATGGATGTTAATTTCTTTGCTCCTTTTTCTATCAGTCATCCTCTGTGAGAATATATAAAGTGAATAGTTTTAAATAAATAAATTTAAATAGATAATCAATATTCTGTTGCTCTCCAAGTAAATAAGAAATCACGACTAACTTCATTTTTGTTTTCAATCACTTGCATCTTCAACTTAAAGGAGTGTCTATAAATTGCTCACTTGATATGAAGGTAATTGAAAGAGTTACCCTCAGTTTAACTAAAGGCTGCATCCTAATTCCTGTGAAGACACACACTCTCTCACACACGCACGCGCGCGCACAGCTAGATAAACAGAATGACCATTGCAGGAAATGATGTGCGACTCTGCGAAGTGCTACAGTGAGGTCACTTCTGATGAATGACTGCTCCCTGGAGCATAATCAACCTCTAATATATCAAACTTATACTCACATACGAACTAGCCTCTAGCTGCCAGCTCATTGCACTTCTTACAGTCCAACACTAACATTAACAGCAGCTTATAACGCCATACTGCATGACACTGTGGTGAAAATGTCTTACTTGTGTTCGTGAGGTATTGGGGAGATCCAGGCCTGGCAGAGGATCCCACTCACTGTCACTGACCTCCGCCCTCTGTAGCTTTGACCTGTCCCTACAATACATTCCCTTACATAGTCTGAAAAATACAGAAATAGAAACAAAAAACACAGGTGATTTGAAAAGTAAGGCAATAATGAAGGGTATAGAAATGTGATGAGTTTATAAGCTGATCAGTGATTTTACACAAAACCAGTTCAGCTAATGAATAAAACAGAGAGGGGGCCGTAATGTTCAGCTTAACAAGGAGGTGACATTGCCAAAAGTCAAATCTGCTTTCCTAATCAGAAGTATCTGGATTCAGTGTCTGCCTGCTCGCTCTTGTATTCAGTTTGACTGAAGTGGGACATGGATTTCCAGTGTTATACACAAACTCCACTTAATTCCAAAAAGTGAACCATGACATGTTGTGGCACAGTAAAATCACCAGCATCCTTTGCCCTTTCTCGTTATCCTTTAAGAGATGCTGTTGTGAACATCGAGTCACCTCTTGAAAACTGCAGTCAATAAATCAGTCAGGGTGCTCTAAACACCCTTCATACTCTGACAGACTCTGCTCCTACTGCAATTAAAACTGTCTGCTCTGATAGTGTCAGAAGACGAGCTGATCTTGATATCAGCTGTGAAGGAGAAAACAAAGAATAGCAAAGATTTACCTTTTTTTTGGTAGAGTTCATAATTAGAGTTTTGATGACTTTCAGCTCCTTGAGAGCTTTTGTCAAATGAAAGCCAGTGGCACTTTGTGTTTTTGTGATCGTAGAGGAACGCTCTAGAAAAGGAACCAAAAGACAAGGAATGCGTTGATTAGTGATCCTTCTTATCTTGACGCAAAACACAGTGAGTTAAACATGCAAACATGAGGTCTGCAGCTAATATAATCTAATTACAAATAAATAATAGTCATTTAGGTGCAGAATAATTCACTGAATGTAAATAAAGTAGCTAAATTTTCACATGAATCCCAATTGATGGACTTTGACAACTGACATCCATTATGGGTAAAATATTTTGCATGTTAGAAAAAAATGTAAACAAACCTGCAGATGAATGGGAGTCTTTTACCACGGCTGCAGGTTTTGGCACATTTGGTTAAGCTGAGTTTCCGGCTTTTGGTCATGTGGGAGGGATCAGGAGCCACTGCAAGCAGCTGGATGCCATCAGATTTCTGGTAGTCCTGGAGCGCATTTCTCCTGCTCTCTGATACATATTTACATCACATGCTCATGTTATTTCAGCAATGCAGCTGAACATTTTGATGCACAAGTGAATCACAGTACAAAGAAGTGAAAAGCAGCAGTCGGCAGGAGTTTGAGCAATCGTTCTCATCCGATGCAGATGGAGCTTTGACTGATCTCAGTTTAGAGAAACAGAGTAAAATTCTGACTGGACTGATGAGCTAATGGCTAGTTAGAACAGGGCGAGTGGATTGCTGCCGTCTTAAAGCAATTTGATCTCAAAGAAATGATACAATTTTGATTTTTTTCATGTCTTTTTAAATGGTTTTAATTTTGTGTTGTAATTTGTTTTCCTTGCTTTGAGTTTTGTACATTTCTGTTTTACAATTGATGTATTAGTCCTTCATAATTTATTTTTCTGCAAATTCTTCTGTGGACACTTACATTTTTGTGTTTATTCCATGCCCATAGTTCTTCTATGCTCCCTTTACGTGTCACACACCTGTCAACTATCTGCAATCATCCCGACTCAGGAACAAACCAACACAGTACCCCTGCTTCTCAAGCTAATTATCAGATTAGGTTTTAATCCTTTTCACACCTTCATTAATTTCTTAATAAACAGGTATCACATCAAATAATAATATGATGCTCCTGCAGGAAGTTCCTCAAGTTTCATTGGAAGTGCTACAGCTAGCTGCCTCCACCACCACTTCAACTACAGCTCTCAGAAAAGGTTCACATTGAGGTGGTTTAAGACAACAGCGATGCTTTGGTCTTGGCTCCACTCGGACTCGTTCACTCATCAATATGGTCAAAAATGAAATCTGTTAATGCAAACTGGTTTGGATCAATGAGCTTTCTACCACAGGTAAGATGTTTGTTGTTTATAACTGTATACAGAACACACTATCTGAAGATTTGAACTTTAACTTTAGTGTTGTTGCTGCTGCTGCTGTGGTTTGGGAGGCAGTATGACCTTGCTATGCAGATGTTGTGCACTCTGTGGGACGTTGAACTTTCCCCATGTGGTCAGCATCACTCTGATAGCAGTTTGAAACAACACTTTTTTTTTCCATTTTCATTCAGTGTAAATATCTGTGTTGGTTTTAGTTTACTTAGTGACTGACTTAATTATTTTCAGTCAGCCTCAACACCTAACCTAAAAATCTCAGAGATCTTGTGAGGAGGTGATGAAGAAGTTCTTTGAAGGGCAGCTTCATCTACAGGCATGCGGTGTTCAGAAAACTGCTTTCAGATTCAGCTTTTGAACGCTTTCTGATGAAATGAGTAAAATGATTAAAGGCTTTTATGTCAGGGCTGAGTAGTTTTACGGGAAAAACTTGATATGCCAGAACCACTGGATGACAGGAGTCATTAATCTTGAAATTAATCTTGTGAAAGTCTCTCATATACCTTTTCCCTGTCATCAGAAAAACATGCCCCATCTGCTGTAAAATCATTTATTCATCCAGCCCTTCAAAATAACTAAGTCCAAAATGAACCGTCAATAGCTACACTCCAACCTTAAAAGTTGCCAAATGTTTTATCACATCATTTCAGTCACATATCATCTTACAGGCAACACTAGACTGTTAAACGCGGGGGAGTGTTATCCTCAATCCCTGTGAAGTAACGTGAATGAAGGCACTTTAAACTCATGACTGACGCGCTGTCCTGCACGCAGCGCAGACCTGCGCCATGACGCACACTCACCGCGGCTCATAACGACAGGCGTTCAGCACTTTATGACTTAAAAACTTACCGGAATAAGAAACGACGAAGAGTCCGAAAACGAGCCCGTAAAGCCACATGGCTGGTCCCAGAACAGCAGCTGGAGAAACGGAGTGAAACGCTGCGCGTCTGACACCAACCAGGAGATGTTGCTTCCACCTCTGCACAAATGATGCGTCTCCCCTCTAAGTACTTCGTCGCCTCCCTTCCCTCCCTCCATCCCTCCTCCCCACCCTCCTCTCCGCCTCTGTGTGCACGTGTGTGGTTCGCATCCCCTTTCCCTATAGTTCCCTATAGCTCATCTTTTTTTTTTTTTTTTTGTTCTTTCTCTCTTCTATTTTTCCTCCCTAATCCAGGACCACACATTTGGATTACAGAGCGTAAAATCAAAATATGTAACCGATTATCAGGGACACAAGTTTTCAGTTTATTTATTTATTTATGGATTTATTTATTAGGGCTCATTAGGGAAATAAATAACTTGTTACAGATAAATTTGTTTAAATCAGTTTACTAACGGGATCTAGAGTGATGAACAGTAAATATCTTATTTATTTATTAACTGTTGAACTAACAGCTGGTTCAAGTGGGACCAAGACCAAAGTGGTTGCCATAACAACTTCAGTCACAAATATTTTATAGTAGTTTACGTGAACATTATTGTGTAACTATTTACTACCATCAGATTTCCTTTAGACTCTATAACCTGATTACAGTGTTATGGTGACCCAGCAGAAAGTGTCACAGGCTGCACTGGAGCTGCTTCAACTACTGCTGCAGCCATCTGCTCATGCACATAAATCATTCATTTTCATGTATGTACACGACTCAGTGAGACTAACCTGTATAAATAAAGGTTGAATATGTTTCAGTAATATGCAAAAGTAAAGACAATGTAAATGTTTTATGTTCAAATAAAGCACAATGAAGTCCTTGAAGATGTTTAAAAACAGCAGCAACACACTTTGGTCCTGTCCACACTCAGACTAGTCAATAAACCGTTTCTTCAAACGGATATCATTCAAAGAGCTATCTACAACAGGTAAGATATTATTGCTCATTTAAAACATCTCAACTATCTATTGGTTGTCAAACATTGCAGATCTTGACTCAAAAAAGAAGATTGTCTGAAGCTTGCAACCCCATCTATTGCAATACAAACAATTTAAATGCAATACTGTATTTTTTAAATCTGTTTAATGGGTTTCACCATCAACCTTTCCAGAAAAAAAAAAAAAAAGAAAAAGAGAGATGACGGTTCTAAAACTTAATTGATTACAGAGGACTGAAAACATCAATATATAAAAGGTACTATAGATGTACGTGATGATCACTACAAATCCTATTTGGGACAAATAGAGGATGCTTTTGTAAAACATATTCAGTGTGTGTACATTCACAGTCACAGAGCAGCCTTCCCCTCATTCACCCCCTTGTGTCAATCTGTCTTTTTCTCCCAAGTTAACTAATCAACACAGTATTCTAAATAAAACAGATATTGTCAGCAACTTGTCAGCAATGGGAAACTCAAGAGGGTAAGAGTGCGGGATGGTTGTTTATGGTGCTTTATGTCATTCATCTGTTTCAGATAAGATGAATTCATTGGTGGTGGTGTGTTTGTGTGTGTGTGTGTGGGGGGGGGGGGGGGGGTGCGATGGCTGAGCACCTTTTCTATTTCCAGAGATGACAGCATGAGATGGCATGAAACTTAGCTACCCTCGCAGTTTGTCGTGCTGCTCTGATGGAACATTCTGCAGTCCTCCAGTGACAGCATCTTATTGATTCCATATTAGGTTTGTTATCAAATTTAGGCAGATTTACAGCAATGTGAGGATTTCTTATAGTGTTTCACAATCACACCATGTGGGCGAAACTATGCAGATATAGATGGATAAATATGTAGGAGGAGATAGACTTCGTTCCTGCCTTTTGTCTGGTTTGGTGAGTAATGGTCTCGTGGATTCCTATGAGGACTGCAGAGTTCCTTATAATAATAAAGAATCAGCAGTGAGTCAGATACTTTCACTGAAGCAAAGCATAGGCCTTAGTTTTTGTACCTTGACTTTTGCTTCCTCTTTGCAGTCACACTGACTTCAAACACATACAATCAAACCTTCATTGATTTTTTTTCTTATGCCTACATGCACATTAACTAACACGTTTGCTTCATGCATAACAAGCAGCAGATGAGATGATGACCTTCATCCGTTTGAGGATGCAACAAATGCAACAGCACCATCTCATTGCTGACTCTGCCAGCAAGAATCCAGTGTGCGTTTTGTTTCTTCTTTGTTTTATTATTTTTCTCGTGATATTTCTACTAAGGGATGAAAATCAGAGGAAACCAGTGGTCCACTCTTGCTCATATGAGTGCCGCCACTTTTTCAAACTCCTAACATCTGTGGCTGGTTATTGCCCCCCAAAAGTTCCTATCTGGTAATGAAGGGAGGAAGTTTGAGATGGAGATGATTTGGAGAGTGAAGAAGCCGTTCCACAGGGAAAGCAGATGCAGAGCAGACAGACACAATGAATTTTCTGTATGAGAAGGAAGTGCAAAACGGAGCGGTGCAGTGGCGGATGGTGTATTTGCATGCATACTTGTGGAATGTAGACTTCCTGTAGATTTGTTTGGGAGCTTTGTATGCATTAGTGTCACTGAATACTTTTCAGCACAAGTGGGTGTATGCAACATGTCCATGTATGTAAATTTTTCATCAGAGGCAAAGCAGTTAAACCTATTTTTTATCTTAAGCTTTTCTTCCAGACATCACAGACTTTATGAATCTTTGATTATGACAATGAGAAGTTTATTAAGGCAGAAAAATAGTTCAAACAGTGTGAAAGTTTGAAACAAGGAGAGAGGAAGTGGAAAAAGCATCAGATTGCGTGTGCATGTACAAAGCAGAGGTGACTTAGGTACTCAGATCTACTTGGGAGGATGTTTAAAACTTGTGTTGATGTGTATGTGTGTGTGTGTGTGTGAATGATAAAATGGTGAGGAAGGCCCTGTAAACACAGATACTGTGTCAAGTGATCCTCCTTTAAACAAACACACACTTTCTGTTATCAGTGCATGCGGCTGCAGCCACTGCTTCTAATGGAGGTCTGTTGACATTTACAGACAACACTAACAAGCTAAATGCCCACACAGTTTGCTTGTAAAAACAAATTAAAAAAATAAAGAAAAGAACGGGTGAAAAGTGCAATATTACGCTGTTTTTAATTGCAGTTCAAATAGCAGAAATAGGGATTTTGCCATCGTCTTTATCATACATATTAGTTTTAAACAGTTAAAGTGAGATGAGTCAATATCAATTGATTTTTTTTTCTTGTTTGATCATTTTCTTTCAAATGGCTTTTCTGATTCTTACAGACAGCGTGAAATGTTATTGATCACTGAAATAAGAAGCTGAAGTCATATTGATGACTCATTTTATGGTGCTGACTCATCATTTCTCTTGTTGTGTCTGAAGAAGGACCTTTAAATGTAAAGTTTTTGGTCATTTTATTTTATGTTCTTCATCAAAAGAGGCTTATGTGCGTAAAATGAATAATGAAAATCCCCAAGCCTTCTTATCAGCTACTTTTTCAAACACCCAAACTTGAGTAGTCAACTTCCTATTAAGTCTTAATACACTAAATATTAATATTATTATTACTGAGTAAAACACAGTTCACAGAAATCTACCGGTACTCTACTTCTGCCTTTTGTCTGCCCCTCCTCTTGTGTTTATGGGTGTTGATGTGAACATTTCAGACTGAACCCTTGAACAATTCATGAACAAAAAGGCCTGGTGAGTTTGTATATCCACACAAAGCACAACTGTTTAAAAGACACATCCTTTAGAATGGTACACATGAAGTGTGTCAGAAAAATACATGCCTTCTGTTACGTTGGCCCTTTGACTGCAAGTGACACTCTCACCAAAGTGCACCGCTCTAAAATAAACTGGAAAATACACATAAGTGGGTTGTGTTTACATGTTTACGTGCACAGTCTCTATTGTAATGAACGGACAATCGTGTGCAACTGTCTGGCATTTAACAGTTTATTGAATTCATAGCCTGTCTGAAAACAAAGGACCCACCTGCACTCCTCTCTAGAATCTCCAAAACAGAAGTTGCATTTAGCAATTAAAAATGTCAACTTGCACAGTGAACACAACCTTATAATCCACTCGTTGACAAATTCTGTCACATGCACATTTCCATTCATTCATTTTCTTTACTTGTTTTTCCTTTACACGTTGTGCAGCTGGTGCTTATCTCGAGCCGTCACTGCGAGAGGCAGGACACATTCTGAACAGGTTTGGAGTTCATCACAGGGCCACATGGAGACAAGACAAACAACTATTCACACCTAGGGCCAATTTAGAGTTTTGAATTAAGCTATTGGGCATGTTTTCAATCTGTGGGAGGGAACCAAAGTTCTAGAGGAAACCCATGCGTACATGTTGCAAACATGCAAACTACACAGAAAAGCCGGGTGCCGAACCTTCTGTCTTCTTGCTGTGAGGCGACATCTCTAATAACTTTGCTTCCATGCCGTCCAGTCTCTGAAAGTGCTCATCTTTATTGATACAAAAAAATATTTACTGCATGGTGATTTCATAAAGCAAGACAGCAAACGTAAAAAACAAAGGAAAATATAAGAACAACCTTAAAATAAAGCTCAACCTCTGATTCTTTTTTAGTTTTGTTTTCTTGCACATCTGCTAACAGTCAGCTTGTCTTGTTTGCTTCTCACTACTAATTTGCCTCCACATGATTCACACACAACCGGAGATGCACAGGGGAGGAAAGGTGGTGGGTAAAAATCAAAGAGCCAGGGAGGGAAAATTGTAGATTTCATCCCACATGTGTCTGTGTCAGGTCTCATACATGCAATTAACAAGTTGATGGTGAACATGGCAAAGAACAGACGGGATTTTAAACAGCCTTTAGAGCCCACCTGAGTGATTTGCCAGACACTCGTGGTGGGAAGCTGAAGCATGAACACACACATTCAAACACTCGCGCACAAGCACGCTGCGTAGGGTTTTCTGGCTCCAGCTGCTAAAGACGTACTGCTCCACCCTGCTGAACAGAGGGTCTGCACTGCAACGTTCCCAAGGGTTTACATTACCCAGGTCAACTCTTTTTTTCCCCTTCATATACCCTTTTTCTACCT